GGGCTGTTATAGTTTTATCTCTGCTCTCAATCTCTGTGTGCAAAATCACCATTTCTTTGGAAACTCAGATGCTGGATCGCTTACATTTATATATTTTTTCATCCTTCTGCAACAGTTCTGTCATTAAACATGATATTTTTCAGGCATGTGATACGGTCAAATGCCTCCAATATTTGCAGAGTTCACTTCATATAAAAATTTGATTTCTTTAGCCAAAAAGAATAAATTAAAAAATTGATTTGTTATCCTGTTGCATGATCTTTCTGGTTTCATTACTATTATATCTGCAAGTTAGCAAAATAGCAAAGAATAAAATAAAACCAATTGAAAAAAAAAAGAAAAATCAGCTACCTGAGGATTCTATATTTTCTATTGTTTGTTTTCATTTAATTTTTTTTTTTTTTTACATACTGCATTGATTTTATAATAAAAGGAGAATGTTTTAAACACCAGCAGAGGAACCCAAGGTCCAGGCTGTTGAGTTTTCATAACAGTAACATTCTGCTTCGCAAAAATCATTCTTCTCTGACTTAATACTACGTCTACTTTTTTCCGAAACCTAGAAGAATTTTTCTTTAATCCATTGTTTATTCAGCCTCCATTAAATACAAACAGATTCAGAACAACCTTATAGTTAAAACTACGTCTATTCATGTGTTCATTTCTGAAATTTCATTTATCTTTTCCTAAAACTGAAATGTAAGGATTTTTTTTTCTTTTTTAACAATAATGTATTTTAAACAATCATATTTATAAGAAATCACATTAAAATTAATAATCCAAGAAACTTTAGCAGTGTCATCTCTCTGTAGAAGATACATACAAACTTGCTGTAATGCAGATAAAATAACCAGGGCATGTAATACAATGTATATCTTAAAATATGAAACTTTTCCTTCAAACATGAGCATCCAGTTGAGGATTATTAAAGCACAGACCATTAATATCTTTAACCAATTTGTGTTGCATGAGCTCATCTTCTCTGCATTTCTTTCACTTACCTAACTGTGCAATGTTACACTGTGTTACTAACATTTGATGACACACATAAATAGGCAAGCAGGGCTTCTGAGGGATGTCACAGAATCACAGAATTGTAGGGGTTGGAAGGGACCTCCAGAGATCATCGAGTCCAACCCCCCTGCCAAAGCAGGTTCCCATGTCCTGTAAAGCTCAAGAGTAAATATGGATCAGAGTTCCAAATTCTATCTGTATTGTTGTGTTTCAATCAGGCTTTGGACACAGAGATTGCCCTACAGAGATTGCCTTTGTGGGACACAAAGTTTGGAAGATAAAGGTGTCTGGAAGGAACAAAGGCTGGTAAGGCAGACAGGGTAATGTCTTATCCCAACAAAGAGCCAGAGCATTGCGGCAGCAAGTCACGTTGCAAGTCCATTGTAGCAAGAATGATCCAAGACCAAGTTAGGAAATCATGTCCTTGGGTCCAGATCTGGACATCAGACATCTGCATCACACACAGGAAAGACGGCAAATCAAGTTTCTATGTTCTCATCAGTGGTAGAGTTCAGTGTGTTTTCAGTCAGTTCTCATCAGCGGTTTTCATCTCAGTGTGCAACTTATCTCATTCACCATGTGAAGGGGAACGTAAGCCACAGAACTGACATAATACGGGGTACTACTCACTGATTTGTCATAAACATTTCAGAGGATGGTTCCTCCATCTTTACTGGAAAAGATCATTTTTTATTTTTGCATTCTATTAAGCACAGGAGAAGATCTAGTCTTAAATTGCTAGTTGTTTTGGGTTTTTTTTTTTGGGGGGGGGTTTTTTTTTTTTTTTTGGTTTTTTTTTTTGTTTGTTTGTTTGTTTAAGACTGATTTGTTCTGGGTGGTTTGTTGTTTTTTTATTGTAGTGTATGGTGAAGTAGTGGTTGAAATGACCTTGTTTGTTTAAATTAGAATGTGAAAGCCCCACTTAGTCAGAAAGAAAGAAAAATGCCTTTCTATGTTTTTCACTGTAAACATCACCAGTTATGACAGATCTCAAAAAACACAGGCATTTTCAGGTTGACATAAAGGTCTTGGAGTACTACATGATCCATCAAAAAATCTTAACGCTGGCACACCTGTCATCTCTAAAAATTCTTTTCCATGAAAAATACAAGTTTACTTTTAAAACAATTGACAGAAATATCTTTTTTTTTTTTTTTTTTTTTTCCAGTACTCTTCTACTGACATCTTAACTGGACTACCTATGAACCCTGTTTAATTTATGCATAGCAATACAGAAAGAGAGAAATATCTTTGTTAACAATAGTTCTAACTTCTTTATTAAACAATCACAGAATCTCAGAATTGCTGGGGTTGGAAAGGACCTCAACAGATCTTTCAGTCCAACCCCCTGCTAAAGCAGATACCCTACAATAGGTCACACAGATAGGCATCCAGATGGGTCTTGAATACCTCCATAGAAGGAAACTCCACAGCCTCTCTGGGGAACCTGTTCCAGTGCTCCATCACCTTTTAACATAAAGAAGTTCTTCCACATATTTGAATGGAATTTCCTATGTTCAAATTTTAGGCCGCTATGCTTTGTCCTCTTGCTATGCACCATCAAGAAGAGCCTGGTCTCACCCATTTGCCTTCTACTTCTCTTTAATTATTTATAAACATTAATCAGATGTCCTCTCAATTTTCTTTTTCCCAGGCTGCATAGACTCAGGTTACTCACCCTTTTCTCATATGGGAGATGGTCCAGGCCCTTTATCATCTTTGTGATCCTCTATGATGTCATGGGTTGAAAAGGATCTGAAAGCCCACCCAGTTCCAACTTGATAACCTGGCTTGCCCAGGACCCCATCCAATCAGGCCTTGAACACCTCCAGAAATGGGACATCCACAACTTCTATGTGCGACCTGTTCATGTGTCTCACCATCCTCAGAGTAAAGAATATCTTCCTAATATCCAATTTTCATTTTAGAGTTTGAAGCCACTTCCCTTTATCCTATCACAGTTAGACTGCGTAAAAAGTCAGTTGCCCTCCTCACTCTAAACTCTCTCAAGTACCAGAAGGCCACAATGAGGTCTCTGCAGAGTTTTCTCATCTTCAACCTAAGCAAGCCCAGCACAGATGTGATGCTCATCTGACTGTATCTCTGAATCTTTCTTTCTCCCTCTCCAAAAAATGGTAATAATGTTTCCCTTTTTCAAGTCCCCAGGGACTTTTCCTATGTGATGGATAATGGCTTGACACCTAATAAGCTATTAAAAGGGAAAGGGAGAAAGGGAGAAAGGGACAAAGAAAAGAAAATGATAAAAAGGAAAAAAATAGGCTGTAACAGAAAACAAAACAAAGGGTAGAAAAGCGAAAAGTATCACGTAAGGGTTATCAGAGAATCCTTCCTGCAGATGGATAGTCAGTTAAAGATTTGGAGGCATGAAGAAACATCATAAAATCTTTGGTACTACACTGAATCAAGCTACAGAGTGTTTGATTACACACCAAATGTAATGGCAAAGTTCACTGCTGTCATGCACTGCTGATGGGCATGAATAAGCAATGCTCAGAAAAAAACTATTTCAGTGGCCTACCAGAGGTGGGAATACTCTCCTGTTTTCACTTCCGCAGAAGTAGGTGTAAGCAGTTTTCTACTGAATGCATGTTATGCTGTAACTGAAATTCATTAATTTCACTGTTAATTTATTGTCCTGGTTGCAGTTAAGACGTATCTTGGCAAAAAATTCTTGCCTCACGGAAAACCATCTTTACTGATAAATAAAAAAGGAAATAATGGCTTGAGTGAGAATAATTTTGGCCCCTGCAAATATTACAGTGGTGTTTTGTTCAGTCCAGAGAGTGCTTTTCTCTTATTTTTTGTTTAACTATTTTACACAGCACCTGCTCAGAATTTAACATTTCAGAATATTTCAATATAATGATTGTGTTTTTATTTGATTATCAAAATAAATATTTAAACAGAAAACTGTAAGCTTAATGTGTTTCATTTTCTAAATAACGTCTCTTTGTCATTTATTTCAGTTTGATCTTAAAAAAAACATTTGAAGTATTAAAAAAAAAAAAAAGTCTGGTATATGCAGACTTCCCCAGTGCCCTTTGTATGTTTTCAAATGAACCTTTCTTTGCAAGTAATTAAAAAACAAAAAACAAAAAACCGTTCATAGTTGTTCTGTTTTGAATCAAGTACTTATCTCTGACCTTTGCTAAAACTTATAAAATCACAAGGAGATAAGCATGAAAGAAATCATGTGCTGTTCAAGTACTTAAAGTCCAGGGAAAGGCACTGAAGTAGAAAGGGAGATTAATAGGAGAGTGAGGCCAAGCCATGCTGTGTTGGTAGAACACGGATTAGCAGGCAGACTGTAACAGGAAAGAAATTAGCAGTGCTTATTTTGAGTTAGACACAGAGTTAGCCCCAGAACACAGAGAGATACAACAGGATCTCAGCAGAGAAGAGGTGCCAGAAAGACAGAAGAGGTACAACGTGTGGAGAATTGTAGCTTTATTTTCCAATGAAGCTGCCTTTAAGAACAGCAAGCAGATACAGAGGGATAACAATAGCTAGAAAGCAGAATACACTAGTTAAATGCAGGAGAGAAAAAATGTGAAATTAAAAAAAAAAATATTGAAAAATAGGTGTTTTAGACAAGTTTAAATATTTTGTGGTAGTGATGTAAATCTGGCTGGCAGATGTGCAACGTGAATGAACATTTAGGAACTGTTTAGAAGTCAATGTGTAAATATATCTCTGCAGGTTATTACTATCTTTCTCACAGATAATTAGAGAAGGAAATAACATTAGTAGAAATTGTTTTTTCTCATTAGGCCATCAAAGTACATATTTCAGAAGTATTTGCTGAGGTGAGAGGAATGGACTGAAGGTTTGTGTTGCTTATTTTCATTCTTTATCTGTTTTTCTCTTGGTGTAGAGGGAGCTGGGTGTCCTGTCACTGGAGAGGAGACGAAATTGAGTACGGATCAAAGTTCTCAGAAGGAGCCAGCCCTGCTGAACCTGTTGCCATGCAGCTCCCCATGCTGCTGTTCCTTTCCCTGCCACTATTTCTTAACATATTTGAACCAGCTGGAGCTCAGTTCCCTCGCCAGTGCACTACCATCGAGTCTCTGAGAAGTGGGATGTGTTGCCCAGACTATTTCCCTGTGTTTGGGCCTGGTACCGATCGGTGCGGAGTGTCTACAGGGAGAGGCCGTTGTGTGCAGGTGACAGTAGACTCGCGACCCCATGGCCCACAGTACATCCATGATGGGAGGGATGACCGCGAGCAATGGCCCATACGCTTCTTCAACCAAACCTGCAGGTGCAATGGTAATTTCTCTGGTTACAACTGTGGGTCATGTCGCCCTGGATGGACTGGACCTACATGTAGCCAGCAAATCAATATAGGTAAGAACATCAGAAATATGAAAACTTCCTGTTGGCATCTTGATTTTAAATGCATCTAGATTATCTTTTTTTTCTTTAAAACATAAAATGTCCCTTATATTTATATAAAAATGTTCTTTAGGTGTCATTAAGGCAGATGTTAAGTGAGCTGTCTAACTTGTGTACAAAGTACCTACACTGACTACACAAAAGGAAGAAACAAAATCTGTAGTCAGAGCAAGATTAAGACCAATTCTACTATAGAACATATTCATCTTTAAAATTTTGTATTCTTTGGAATTATTTAGTAGTAAAATCATATGTATAAACATCTATGTGTGTTTGTGAGAATATCTAGGAATACATATCTATATATCCTGAACAATATCTTGTAAATATTTGAAGTGTGATAGCAGCACTTCTGATTCACAGTCTCATAATATATTTCCAGTCTACACACTTCAGCTGAATTTTTACTTACCTAGTTGCTACCAATATCTTTAAAAGCCTTAACACAAGACTGTAGGATATTCATATGAGAGAGCGTAGTGCCTGATGGACCTTCCTGAGCACTGCACAGTTTCAGTTTAGTGCTGACTATCAGTAAACAGATGTTTCAAAAAAAGAAAAGAAAGAATAGATGATACTATGTCTTTTTTCATAACTGAAAAGCATTATGAATGAACAAGATTTTATTGTTTGTTAGTGAAAGTCTACAGATGATACTAAAATGCTGTAAAATTCATAACCCTTCAGATGAATGATGGATTCCACTGACATGAGAAACAACAGGTTCCTGACATAAAAGTGCAATGCCTCTTCCAGAATCAAAACTCAGCACTGCCATTATTTTCACCAAATAGGAAATACTCCATGAGTGCGAGCACATGCTCCAGCAAGAGTTAACGAAGTTCAAATATTAATAATCATATTTCCAAAAAACATTTTATAGAGGGCTTAATGACTCATGCATTGAAGTGGCTAAGTCAAGTGGCACCCTCTGATTCTCTTAGGCCATTCCTATTAACAATGACAATAACTCTGAAAAGTAAACAACAGCAATAACAAAATGTTAGCGCATGGAAACTTAGAACAGTAAATCTGCTAAACTAAAAGCAGCTATAGCTGAGGTAAGAATGTTTTTTACTTTATTTTTCTCTAAAATATTAAGCAAATCGCATCACGCATAACAATATAAATTTAAATATGAAAAATCAACTTATTATTATGTTTTCTGCCTCTGTATGGAGACCATATCTTCTGTCCATCCATAAACCTGGTCTCTGTTGCTTAGACATTAAAAATATTGGATTATTTTGACATATCTATATAAAATAGCTTTAAAATGCATTTTGGTGCCTTCATATCTTCTAAATCCATGCCTAAATTTAGGAATAGTCCAAAAATGTTATTGTGGAGGATCATAATGTATTTTGGAAAATAATATGTTGAGACCCTGCTTGAAATCAATAACAAAAAATACCAGTTAGGGTATCCAAGTAGAAAAACGTGTTTCAGAATTCACAGTCCTTGGAGGAAATTCATGCTTCAGAACAGCATTTCTACAAACCTCAGTGAGGCTAAAGTACCCTTCACTGAAACAACTTCCTTTTGCACAGTGAATTACATTTATTTCTCAGCTTTTTTATTCATGCTGGAGACATACTGTTTCTTTTATCAATACAAACTCATTTGGCTATTATGGATTGCACAGTACATTTAATACTGAAAATGAGTGCACTGTGAAGAACAGCTTTGTGGTTTTTTATCTCACTTTCAGTCTAAACATAGCATGAAATCTTCTCAGACCTGTGAGACTGCTTTGAAGGTGACTGTTCCTTTTCTGATACTCTGATATTTCAAAAAGTCAGCTGCTCTCCTTGTTTGTAATTTTCTCAGTTTCTATGTGGATAAAAAACATTTAAAATACATAGGTTGCTTCACAGGTAATGCTTCCTATTTATTTCTGTGGAAACTACAGAGGCCACAAGGAGCACAATAACACTATTGGATGGAGCAGTAAAAGTAGGAGGTATTTCTTCCAGAAGAGCCCCCATTATTTTGGGGATATAACCACTAACATATCTACTTTTAACAGTAGTAGATAATGACATTCAAACGGGATGAGTAAGATTTCAGACTTTATTTTCATTCAAATTCACCTTTCTGATAATATTTCCTATTTAATACACTGATTTGCCCCAGCAAAATCTCAAGGAATGCTTGAAGAGAAAGAGACTTACTCAGATTTATTAAGAACAAAATAAATGAGTCTTGTGAAATCAGACTTCAGTTTCCAAGTCTATGTTAACATTTTTTTTTATATTCTCATAGTCAGAAGGAATCTTCTGGATCTTAGCACAGAAGAGAGAAGGCGATTTGTGAATGCTCTACACCAAGCCAAGGTGACAATCCACCCTGATATTGTCATTGCCACAAGGAGACGTGATGAAATATTTGGACCAGATGGCAACACACCACAGTTTGAAAATATCTCCATTTATAACTACTTTGTGTGGTCCCATTATTATTCTGTCAGGAAGACTTTCCTTGGTGCAGGGCAGCAGAGCTTTGAAAGAGTTGATTTCTCTCATGAAGGACCAGCTTTCGTCACATGGCATAGGTATCATCTGCTGCAGCTTGAGAGAGACATGCAGGTAAGGATGACAAAAACGTTGAGTCATGTGCTCCTACTGTGCATTGTATGGATGAATTTTTCATTCTCATATTGTCTCATAATAGACAAAAATTATAGCAGCTTTTACCATACATTGAAATTTTGCTTCAGTATCAGTATTAAAAAAGTTATACTAAACTTACTGGAATGTATTTAAGTTTTAGATAGACATTATAAAAATGCTAGTAGTAATAATATTTCAATTCAAGTAATAACAAAAACACATGTTATCTAAAACTCAATATAAAAGTGGATACATATTCCAGACTAGCCCATAGAAAGCATTTAACTGGACCAAAAAAGGTAATTGCTAGTTTTGTACCAAAATCATGATTCTTGACTAACTTAAACTAATCAAAGCAGCAGAAATTCTAAAGAAAAGTATTGCAGAGATTCAGAATCACATTATTTCTATAATTTATGCAACAGGTTAGACACATTAATGTTTTGTGAAACTCTTTCATAAATAAGTGGTTCTCTTGCTTTCCTTTCTTTGTGTAGAATTATTCATAAAAATAATATTTGATTGACTGTCATTCTTTTTAAGGAAGAGAAAATTGAGTTTTCAAGGTTGTTGCCAATTCTGCAATTGGCTTATTTTTTCAGTGTTCTACAAACATCACTGCCATTGTCAGGCCTTTAAAATATATGGAAAAAAAATGGGGTATGAATATTAAATGTTTCTTACTATTAGCAATACGGTTTCATGGAAGTGGGGGATTTTATGAGAGGGATTTGGGACTCAGTTCAATGGTCTAAAAATTTGATTTGGTGAACAGGCAAAGGTATCAAAGTGAAAAGCTACTGAAAGCTTTTCCATAAATTTCCTTGCATTTTCTCCTTTCCATGAAGCAGGACTCTGGTTCTTTTTAAGATATATTTAATGGATTTTGAATATTCCTCCAGCGATCTGTATCATGGATGCCTGTAGCAGAGATTTACTAGTGCCACACTTATATGTTTTAGAACATGCTACAGGATCCCACTTTTGGCCTTCCCTACTGGAACTTTGCAACAGGACAAAACACCTGTGATATCTGCTCAGATGACTTGATGGGGGCTAGAAGCAATTTTGATGTATCTCTGATCAGTCAGAATTCAATCTTCTCTCAGTGGCGTGTCCTGTGTGAAAGCATAGAAGACTATGATAGCTTGGGAACCATTTGTAACAGTAAGTATGACTAGTGAAAGGTGCTTCAGATGTTTATTATTCCTTTAATAATAAGATTTTACATGGCAATGGATCTTTCCAGCTACAAATTTTAAAGAAAGACTTTAGTCTTTTTTGTCCTTCTTCAAAAGACTCTTCTTTTGAAGAGTCTTTTGGATATTTTTGATTCAAGATTCATGCATCAGTCTTCTGACATAGTAGTTATCACCTAGCTTTCACTGAGGCACTGAATAGCTTGTAACAGAGAAAGAATCGAATTCTTTGACTCCACTTCTTAAGACATTACAGGACCATAGAATCATTTGAGTTGGAAGAGACCATTAAAGGTCATCTTTTCCAAATCCCCTGTGATGAATAGCGGTATTTACAGCTAGAGCAGGTTGCTCAGAGCTCTGTGCAGCCTGACTTTGAATGTCTCCGGGAGCGGAGCATCCACCAACTCTCTGGGCAACTAACATTTTCCAGTGCTTCTCTATCCTTATCGTAAGAAACTTTTTCCTTATATCCAGTCTAAATCTTTCCCATTTTAGACTGAAAGCTTTTCCTCTTGTCCTATCACAAGAAGCCCTGATAATGATTCTGTCTCCTTCTTTCTTATAGCCTTCCCTTCAGATGCTGAAAGGCTGCTATCCAGCCACCTTGGAGCCTTCTCTTCTATAGGCTAAACAGCCCCAGCTCTCTCAGGCTGTACTTGTAGGAGAAGTGTTCCTTCTTAAGCAGTGCCTCCTTAAATCTTGTGCCATGTATAATTTGAAATGGCAGCATCATGTTTTAGCTGAAGCTTAAGCTTTCTTCTTACTTCTCCACTTACAACCTTCAAGGTTTATGTTTCTAACGAGAAAAAATATGTAAATACATATGTTAGCTATGTGGGGTGTATTTTGTATAGGAGTACAGAATCCTATTACACATCTCAGCTACAAGAGCTAAAAATTCTGTATCTGCATGGAAATAGAGTATTATATAGTACATAATTATTATTACTAATTAGTAATACTGAATTCAATGCCTACCTAGTTATCTATATTTCTTTCCCCAGCTACTTTAACAAGATGTCCTCAAAATATTGTTCTAGATCTCATCAAGGGATCATATGAAAAATTACGGGAAATTACGGTAGAACCACAAATTTCAGTAAGAGGCATCTGGATGCTTTCTGAAATCAGTTGTGCAAAGGATTAACACACAGATTAGCACATAGAACTTTATGAGGATTCAGGTTATTTTCCTGAGTGAATGATCTGACTTTTTGTATAGTTTAAAAGTCATTTGTGCGATCTTTTTTTTTCTTTTCTTTTTTTCCCCCTCCCCACAATTCAGTCATTAGGAGGATGCATTCTCTGGTCTAGTGTTCTACATCATTTTTGTTTTCTCACTTCTATCCACTCCCAGGCACTGAAGGTGGTCCCATCCGCAGAAATCCTGCTGGAAATGTTGCACGGCCCATGGTACAGCGTCTCCCAGAGCCTGAGGATGTTGCTCTGTGTTTGGAAGTTGGTATATTTGACACTCCTCCTTTTTACTCCAACTCCACAGACAGTTTCCGTAACACAGTAGAAGGTGAGCAGTGCAAACAAAAAGACTTGGTACAGCTCCAAATACATCAAGGTAGCAGACTCAGCATTTTTCCTGTTGAAAGTGAGCTTGGAGACAGTTTACAGGGTACTAAGAATACACTGTTCTTAGAAATAAGTATTAGCTTATTAACAGAAATAACTCTGGATTAATTACTGGATAATTAAGTAAATTGATAGTGTATGTCAGTTCTTCAAGTGTATAAAATCCCTAAAACTGTTTCACAGATATACTAAGTAGAATCTAGCAAAGATCCATCCTGAGTACAATTCTCCTAGTAAAAAGTTTCTGTAAAGGAAAACAGACCGTCTTTGACCACAAAAAGATGCAGAAGCTTTATCATCCTTAAGCAACTCAAATGTGCTCACAGAAGCTATTCTTGTAAATTAATTATAACAAACAAAGGAAAGAAAAAGCCTTGGTAGTATATGTTGGAATTACATTGAAGTAGTAACAGTTGAGGACTCCTTGATTAACTGCTGGACATGCTGCAGTTTGCTTGTCCTCTCTCAGCCATATAGTTTTTTCCTTCTTTCTCAAACTCTGCACTTTAAATTTTCAGTCACTGGGGTATGAATACACATATCACCCTCAGCAAGTTTGCTGATGACACCAAGCTGAGTGGTGCGGTTGACATGGTGGAAGGAAGGGATGCCATTCAGAGGGACCTCAACAGACTTGAAAGGTGGACCCAGGTGAATGTAATCAGGTTCAACACAGCAAAGTGCAAGGTTGTGCACTTGGGCCAGAGGAATCACAGGCAATCACAGGCATATATACAGACTGGAAGGAGTGGTCCTTGAGAGCAGACCTGCAGAGAAGGACCTGGGGGTCCTGATGGATGAAAAACCTAACATGAGCCAGCAGTGGGCTCTTGCAGCTTGGAAATAAAATGGTATCCTGGGCTGTATCAGAAGTGGGGTGGTCAGCATGGACAGGGAGGTGCTTGTCCCCCATCTGGAGTACTGCTTCCAGGTCTGGAGGCCCAATACAAGAAAGACAGAGCTGCTGGAGAGGATCCAGAGGAGGGCCACGAAGATGACCGGGGAACTGGAGCACCTCCCCTATGAAGACAGGCTGAGGGAGCTGGGCTTGTTCAGCCTGGAGAAGAGAAGGCTGCGGAGTGATCTAATTGCAGCCTTTCGGTACCTAAAGGGAGCCTACAAACAGGAGGGGAATCAACTCTTTGAAACTGTAGTTAATAGCAGGACAAGGGGAATGGTTTTAAGTTGAGGGAGGGCAGATTTAGATTGTCAGGGGGAAATTCTTTACTATGAGAATGGTGAGGTGCTGGAACAGGCTGCCCAGGCAGGCTGTGGATGCCCCATCCCTGGAGGTGTTCAAAGGCAGATTGGATGGGGTCCTGGGCAGCCTGTTCTAGCATTAAATGTGGAGGTTGGTGGCCCTGCATGTGGTGGGGGGATTGGAGATTCATGATACTTGAGGTTCCTTCCAACCCAGGCCATCCTGTGACTCCATTCTGTGATATCCCAGCATAGAAACCAGTCTAAAGATCTGAGACACATTATTCAACCAGCATCTTGGTGTTTTCTTCTGCACTTTAATAATCCAGAGTTTTTAAATGGAAAGACTTATGCAAGGAATTTTGAAATTTATGAGAAGAGTTATGAAATGACAGTTCAGATCACTGTCTAATACAAACATACTAATATTCTGACACTCCTGAAGAACATCATTCATATGACAGAGTAGGATCTGCTCCATTTTCTTGCTCTTGGAGAACAAAAACAAGTATCCGTATCAAGCTTTTAAGTATATATAAAAGTTTGGGATACTTATCACATCTGGAAAATGTGCTGTCATGGCTTCAGCCAATTTATTGATCTGCCTCCGAATTTACTGAACTTCTTGAATACTGGAAAGTTTTTCAGAATGCTTCAGATCTTGACCTATGGCATTGGAGTTATCAGGTGGTTGATACCAACAGTGTTTTGTAGGGCACTTCTTTGAAAAAAAATACAGCATGTGAAACTCTCTGAGATGTGCTAGCATAATACAAGGCAATGATTGGTAAAAGCATGACACCTGGAAAATTTCAATAGAAGTTAACATCTTAAAAATTAATCCTGCAATTGAAAGTTATTTCACTTACACTGAGATGTTTAGATTCAAAATATAAAACTTAATTTTCATGTTATTATGTGCTTTATTTTTGCTGTTTTTACTTTAGATCCTATCAGCCTTGCACTCCACATTCTCAGCATTCTTTCTTGAAGCATATTTGAAAGTTGCACATGGGAATTACGCTTGGGAATTATGCATCCTAGGGACATTTCTCAAATGCCAGTAGTTAGAGAATAAGCTACTCATTTATGTCAAACAAGGCAGCACAACAAATGAAAGCCTTTCAGAGAAAAAATAATATCCAGTTGGGACTGCATCTTCCAAACAAAGTGTTCACTGGAATTTTTTGTGTTCTTTGTTTGCGTATTCAGGGTACAGTGATCCTTCAGGAAAATATGACCCAGCAGTTCGAAGCCTTCACAACCTGGCTCACCTATTTTTGAATGGAACAGGAGGGCAAACACATTTATCACCAAATGATCCCATTTTTGTCCTCCTGCACACCTTTACAGATGCTGTTTTTGATGAGTGGCTCAGAAGATATTCAGCTGGTAAGATGCGCTATGGATGGAGATGGGAGGAATGTCTGTCTTTGTAGTCACGAGATGTGAGGAGCTTCCAGAGGGACAGCAAAATGTCTCCAAGCTCAGGAGAGAAGATTAGAATTCTAGCAGTTAATAAATTTAATGAAGACAGAGTAATAGCAAGTAAGCTCGCTTCCTCACCCCTCTGACATCCATTTTCAAATCATTGTCTGTGAAAGGACTTGAACACAGATGCCAGGCGTAATTCAAGAAAATAAAGTGTGCAAAAGCATGATCTCTGACAGTGTAACTATCTAAGTTCAATGCACTGTGGATCTTCCCTTACTGTTAGGGGTAAATATTTATGTTTCCTCCTGACGAAAAAAAGTCAGTTGCCATTTACATCCTCGCCACTGATTCTGACCACATTTTTTATTCACTACTAGAACTCCAGAACCATAATAATATCTAGAGCTATTCCTCTTTAGATATTTCATATCGAAATTATGATAACTGGTGTAACTGTTGCTGCCTATTCTCCTGCGACTCTGAAATACAAAAAGAAAGGGAATAAAGGAGAAAGTGAATGAAAGTGAGGAAGGAAAAAGGCAGAAGGAAGTGCAAGGAAGGATGGAAGGAAAGAAGGAAGCAAAAATGAAAAGAAGGAAAGAAAGAGGTTGGCATCAGTGAACTGGGGAGAGAATTCTATGTTACTCAAACAAACATCTGTGCTCTGGTCTGTACAAAGAAGCAACTGTATTACTCTTAAACAATCCAGCCCCCTCTGCCTTCTACAGAAGATGGTTGCTGTTGAACAACTGAGGCTTCTTTGTGCAGCATTCACAACCTACAGCATGGGCTTTTCCATGCCAACTCTCAGAGAAAACACTGTATGTCTTTGTGGTACTTACATGACATCACAAGCTTTTTCATTGTTTTACTGAATGGAAGTTTGGCTTGTGGGTTTGTTTTGTTTTGTTTTGTTTTCAGCTGACCTTTTCCTGACTTACCATAAAATTCCAGAAAACTTCCACTGGAAATCATATCAGCTGCCCATCTGAAATGCTCGAGATCTTTGACGCAGTTGCAGTGTTAGATCACAGCAAAAAGGGTTTCCTTGTCCTCATGTTTGTACTCCTCCTTGCTCAAGCAGAAAGAAATGAGATGTCTACCACAGGCTTAATTCTCAGCAATTTACTGGGGGGGACAGGAGAGGAGAAGGAAGAAGCTTCTCAAGTGCCCTGAGTCACTATTAAAAAAGCCTGAAATCTTTCAAATGACATAATGATTTCAATTTTATTTACAGAAGTGTGATTTAAATTTCTAATTTAGATATCTCTACATATCCCCTGGAGAATGCCCCTATTGGACATAACCGGGAGTACAACATGGTGCCTTTCTGGCCTCCAGTTACGAATAATGAAATGTTTGTTACTGCACCAGAAAACCTGGGATACAGCTATGACATTGAGTGGCCAGGTAAACTATCCAATCTAGGTGTTAACTCTTTTTCTCCCACCACATTTTTCTCCTTTAAAGCTTACATATCATACAAAAAATCTGAACAAAATTTGTTCAAATTATATAATATTTGATGATTTTGTAAAGGCCTATTTCTCTTTGCTCTTCTGGTCTTCCAAATCAGTTGCATTTGAGATTTAGTACGAATTCATAGCTAGCCATTGCAAACAGCTCTCCCCACCCAACAGAGTTCTTGAGGAAGTTATTTGTATGTATTATTTGCACTTTGTCATTATTCCTGTATCATGTGTCTTCCTTAAGACACATGATGTTTCACTCTCTTACTTGAGAGAGTGCAAGCCAGATAGCAGAAGAGACGTCCAGGCCCATTTGTCACATTTTGGAACAAATAACCAAACAAAATTTCAGCTACTTCTAATTCAAAATTCAGTAAATCATGACAGATATTGAGCTTTGGCCTGTCCCTTTAATAGCATTTACTTTTAATAAATTTTTCTTATGCTTTCCTTCCTCTAGGTCGGGCTCTTCGTGTAACAGAAATGATAACTATTGCAGTAGTGACTGCACTCATTCTTGTTGCAATTATCTTTGCTGCTGCTGCATGCATTGTACGTGCCAAGAAGAACAGGAATGAGTTGCATCAGCCTCTTCTCACTGATCAGTATCAACACTATTCAGATGATTATGATGGCATATCAACACCGGGCCAGTCTGTCGTATGAAGAGATGACTGTGACTAAAACTGATTATTTTGTCATATTTTTAAATGTTTGTCATCCAACTGTTTTAAAATAAGGAGCATAAACTGTCAGCTGTCGTGATATATTTGTTTCAAGCTTTACCTCCACCCTCATCACACTCAGATATCAATAAATCATCCTTTGAAATGCTAATTTTATGTTGACTTTAGTAGAATTTCTCTCATTCTTCAGGGCTCACATACAGGCTCTCTTCATGTACATTTCTGAAAAATATCTGGTAAAATTTAATAACACGCTGAAACTCAATGTAATTTGACTTTATTTAGCCTCTATATCTGGAATCTTTTGCAGGGTATTTTTCTGAAAGCATAAGGCAAAGTCAAGAATGGGACTGAGCAAGTGCAGAACTCAGTAGCAAAGGCAACTTGATTCAAAAGCACAATCCAAAATACAAGTCAGAATTTTCAGCTAAGTTAGCAGAAATATGCTTCTGTTGTGCTAGGCATGGAGCTACAAGGGAATACCGAGAGGAAGGTTATGCCTGGAATCCATCATTCCTCTTGGAATACTCAGTGTTTCTGAGTGTCTTTGTGAAAAGACCATATTGTGCCATATTGTCATTGCTTTCACTTAGATAACCCACTCCAGCCTTTGGCAACTTCAGCCCTGAATTCAAACACAACTGCTTGAAGAAAGCATTCCTTTGAAAGGACAGTTGTTAGCAGCCTTTTTTCTATCATGAATATTATTAACAATTACTATTATTGTTGTTATTATTCACTCAACTACTCTCTTTCTCTCTCCTATTATCTCCTTTACAGATTATACTATCCACAGCAATGAGAGAAATTAATTCAGTTCCCTCCTTCTGAGAGAATTTAAAGTTATACATCTTGTATGTTAACAGAAGTCCCTTGGTATAATGCTGAAAATTGATTTGGAAAAATTGTCATATTCAAATGTTGTTGAACGTATTGTGCTAACATCTCAGGATTCATGAGCCAGCAGGAGAACAACAATCTGAAGCCTGCTTTTGCATCCTGAAGAAGTACGTGAGGAACTTTGGGCTTACATCTCACCTCCTCTCTCTCACTGTACTTGATAAAATTTACCTGATCACCTTCTCATGCTGGCTTAGAGAACCTATTTGTATACACTTTTTTTTAAATTTAGAGACATTCCTTGGGTCAGATTAATGAATCCCACACCATGTACACAGTCCTCTCATCATCAAACTATAAAGCTGAGCTCTCTCTTGGATTGAACTCCTACAGTAAGCAACAGCTATCCTAGTCGGTAAGTTATGAGGCAAAACAAAGAGCAAAACAAAAACTCTGCTCTTTCCAGCTCTTTTCTATCTGCAGTGCTGAATTCTACGGTTGCAGTGGGTTATGAGGTGTGCTGGAAGCACACATAGGATGCAAAGGGATACATATTTTACACCTTGACAGTGATACAAATAGTAAAGTAAGCACTCAAAACTTAATTTACAAACCATAAGACATGGACAACATCAAAATTTTATGTAAGCAGCTTATATTTAGGCAGAAAATTTTCATCTGTGACCCTCAAGTCACAAAAGTAAACTGGACAACAGACTTTTTGCATTGCAGTTTTCGATTTACTTACAGTTCAGCCAATTACTACAGCAGTTACATATGCAGCAGTTCAGATTTCATCTTAAATGCCTACTTCTGCCATTCTTGCCTACACTGAGTAGCAACCTAAAAAATCATCCGCTTCAGTGATTTCAGAGGATTAAAGTAGGGTACTTTGGATCAAGGTCAAGAGATCTGGATTTTTTACTTAGCTCTGTTACTGACCTGTTGAATGTTCTTAGGTAATGTATTTTTACCACTGTGACTCATTTTATTCAGTTCTGAAATGGGGATAATAAAATTTTCCTTATAAATTTCTTTTACTTCTGTGGATGAAACAAAATGCACAGAAGCTTGGTTACAGAAGGAAAATGGCATGGCAAAATCAGATCTTTTGAAGAGGACTTTGGACATTAAAGTCATTCAATACTTAAAATGGAAACATACATTTTGAGCAGGCCATAAGTCTTGTAGTTGAATGACTAAGAAGACCTGCCTACTAGTTGCACTGCCACACAAAAATGAGGGAGGCAAGGCAAGGACTTCTAAAGAAAAGAAACAGCAACACGGGTATTAAAGAAAAAAGGAATGTAGAGAACTGTGTCAGTTATAAGTTAGTTCTTTGGTGACTTTTTACAGTACTCTGAATTACACCTGGGTTTAGTGAAAAACATTCCTACTTTCCACTGAAGTTGTTTGGTGTTTGCTCCTGAACTAATACGACAGGAAATCTAGTTTAGGCTTGAAATTTCAAACTGCCAGCAGAATTAAGAGAGCCAAAAATGCACCAGAAATTAGATAACTTTTAGTCTTTTGCTGGCTTTGTGAAGGCAAGAGCAGGTAGCAAAAAATCACAAAGAGAAGAGGAGACAAGAAGATTTTGAAAATACAGTAACTAAGTTCTAAGCACAGTAATTGTGAAGGGCAGTAATTGTGAAGGGATATCCATGGGAAGGTTTCTTAGTATAGGGTTGTAACACAGTTAGCTGAAGTGATGAAACAATAGAACAAAGTCAATGTTGAATAGATGACAATGCAAAAAGCAGCTGTGACGTAGGAAACAAGAAATTGGCTCTATTAGGAACAAACTGAAAGGAAGCTCAGAATTGGATGCAAGCAAAGATCTCTGAAGTATTGTTTGACAAAAGCTTACGCATAAATAAGAAATACATAATTTATGTATCACGCAGAAATTGGCAAAAAATTGGTATGATGCAAAGTGAATTGAAACCCTTGAGTGCAAATAGTGATAGTGGTTTGTTGTTTTTTTTTTTTCCACAAAAAGTTATTAGCTTAATAAACTGCCATATTGTCATTGCTTTCACTTAGATAACAGTGACTATTTCATGAAAAAAATATATATGTTTAGGCCTCTTAAGAGTCCTCTTAAATGAGGATGTTAAGATTTGCCTTCTTAGTTCTCTAAATTTTGTCTTTTGAAATTTATTTTTCTTATAAAAAAAAAAAAATTAGTGAATTAAAATAAAGAAAAAGCAACTCAGATTCTCTCCAGACCTTTAAGCAGGTAAAAGTTTTGAGAATCTGCAAGAAGAGAGACTATATAGATGATAATACAATAATGAAGAGCCAAGATAGAATAATACAGGTATATTTTTCTAAGTCAGTAATAATCAACCTCCATTTTCTGTAACATGAACTTACTAACTTTGGAAATAAATAGGCAATGTGGAGTGAGGGTAGAGAAACTGTCTTACAATGAAGAAATTATTAGTAGTATTTCTGCATCTAGACTGCAAGTGATTTCTGTTCAAGAACACTTAAAATTGTACAAAAAAAAAAAAACTTAAGCTCATCTATAAGGTGTTTGAAGCATTTTAGCAAATCAGCTAATGATTATGTATTTGAGAACAGTGATATTTTATGGGGAAGGTAAGGTAGAAATGTTCAGTGTAACTACAAGCTTATTAATTTAGAATCAATATCATGACACACTATGTAATAATAATAATAATAATGATATGGAATAAAATACAGTGTGGATTTATCAAAGTTACACTGTTTTACTAAACTTAATAGCTTCCTTTGATATTATAATTTACAAATTTTATTCAGGAATTATATTGATAGTGAAATCTTTGATAAATTATCACGTGCTTAGCCATGATATGCTAGGAATCAAAGTCGGGTCTGAGATCTGAACAGGGAGGTAGTTATACAGTATCAGAAGAAACACTAGCGCTCCCAGCCCCTCCAGCCTTTTAATTAAAGAATTACAAAGACTGAGTCATGCTTACTTAGCTTTTCCCAAAAAACACAAAGCATCAGTGCATGGCTAGTCATCACTTCTAGGACAGCACTGGAAATGATTACACAAAGTAATAAAGAAAACCTGAAGAAATCTCTTTATGAGCTGAGGATCGTTAAGAGAAATTGAGATGGCACAGTAATGACATCTTCCATCCTGCCCTGTATTTTGGTAAAATGGATTTATTTTCCCACATGCAAAGTTTGCTAGAGAGGAATATATTTTTTTTTTTAATAGAATAAGTTTACTGCAGAAAACCTTATGCTACCAGCGTGATACCAGCACGAAAATAGCAAAAGTAATTGTTCGTATGTTGTAGTTTGTTCAAGAGATGTACTGTATATCCCTTCAGTTTAACAGATGAGCATCTGCTTTGGACAGAGCTTATTTTTTATCCAAGAGAAATATTCCTGAACCTGAAAGTTTCACCTCTTCTTATTTGGAAGTGCTGGTTAATCATGACATTATGTTGACATAGAATTGGAATGATTCTCAAGATGCATCACTGAAATATATTTAGTTAATCATCGCAGTATTTTTATTCTTCACAAAGTGCCTCAAAACTAAGTATTTTATTAACAAAATAATAATTTGACAAGAATGTCTGATTAAAAACTGAAATGATTATTAATTTGAATTAATAATATTAATATTTGAATCTGAATTGATGAATATCCTCTCTAAAGATTTAATCTTAACTTAAAATCTCATTTAACCTCCAATTTAGAAATTCCTGGCCTCATCGGGTAGTTTGTTCAGATGCTGTTTTATGAAGATAGTAAAGGGAATAGCAGCCACAATATCTGCTTCTTGATTCTCTCTGGAGGGAATGAAATTATCAGAATTCCAACTGAAAGTAAGCTTTCATTGATTTAGGCATCGTTTTTCAAAAATAGAGAACTATGTGCATCATTTAATGTCATCCTGCAATTCTTAGCCTTGATATTCAAAGATATATGAGATAAGCCACAGCACATTACCTGTATCTTTTTTCCCTTTGTCCCTCCAAATGCTAGGGTCAGTTAAGGCAATCTAAATAATAATTTAATGCAGAATGTTACGTTTGCATGCACATACAAAGTGACTTTAAGAGCACTGCCTTGTCTGTCAAACAAGTATGGATTTGGACTTGATAACAAGTAAAATCAATCCCATCA